TTATGATTGCTTTATTTGCATCCTTTGTAGCTTTGAGAAGATCATCCACATAAAAGTTTCTTTGCACTGTCTGAATCACTTCATCGTTGTAAAATCTGGAGTTATCTTCAGCAACTCTTCGCAAGGCAAACGTCGCACAGCTTGGAGACCATACCCCTCCAAATATGTGTACCATCATCTGATATTCCACAGGTTCCATCTTCAAATTGCCTCGTGGATACCATAGAAATCTCAATGCACTAACGTCATCAGAAGTCACACGTACTTGATGAAACATTGCTTCAACGTCCGCCATGAGGGCAATGGGTTCACTTCTAAATCTGCATAAGACACCAATGAGTGAGTTTGTCAAGTCAGGACCTTGAAGAACATTTTCATTCAAAGAAACATTCTTGTACTTTGCAGCACAGTCGAACACAATTCTGACTTTGTCTGGTTTCTTCGCATGCTTCACGCTATGGTGTGGCAGGTACCATAATTTGCCGTTGCTCACTTCTATTTCTGCTTCTGGAACTTGTCTGGCGTAATCCTTTTCAAGTAAATCGTCAATGAAATTGCTATATCGCTGTTTTAGATCTGGATCTCTTTCCAGCCGACATCTCAAGTATTCCAGCCTTTTCTGTGCCATTGGTCGATTATTTGGTAGATTTGGAGGATTGTGCTTCCACGGAATTGCAATATGGTAATGGCCTTCGTGTAAACATACAGAATTCTCAAATACAGCAAGAGCTCTGGAATCTTCTACAGACATCATTTTCTTGTTATCAACAATTGACTCTTCAAACTCTTGATTGAAGTACTTCTTCAACTGATCATAAAGATGATTATCAGAGGAAACAGTATTGGAATGAAAGCAATGATTACCTTGTTTGGAAGAAACACCAATGGGTCCATTAAATGTCCAACCAAACATTGTCTTTACTGCATACGGACCACCATTTTCACTTTTTTGCACCTCTAGTGGCTGCAAAGCATTTGGTACATCCATGCCAATCAGCAAACTCACTACACCATCGTTAATAGTACCGGGTAACGTTATCCCTTCTAAGTGCGGCCATCTTTTGACATCTTCTTGACAAGCCAAAGCTGATGTTGGAATATTCAACATTTTTGTAGAAAATACATTAGGCATCTGAAGGTGCTTTGTTTCCTCAAGATCCATCACTTCCAAACTAACAACTGACGTCTGACAATATGTTTTTGAACCATTGATCGTAGCGACTGACAATTCACACTTTCTTCCAGTCACACCAAGTTTATCCAAGAGGGCTTCACTACAAAATGAGGCAGTAGATCCACTGTCAAGGAGTGCATATGTCTTAAATAATTTGTCACTTCCTGTCCCTTTTACCATTAATGGAACTATTGGTAATCCAACGTTGTCGCCTTCTTGATCGTTACATCGTGTTACTCCAACAAACTTATCATTGTCTGGACTCGAATCTCTTCTGCGAGCTTCGTTATCTGCATATTTTCCGCTTTCATCCTTACGCCGTTTCTCGTATGCCACCACAGAGTCATGTATTCCTGTCAAATGTTTGCGTCGTAGATTACATTCTGGCACTGTACAGGCTTTTCTTTGTTTGCAACCAGCGGAGAAGTGAAATGATGATAGACAATTATCACAGAGCTTCTTTGAACGAATGAAATTAAACTGTTCCTCACCAGATTTCTTCTTGAATTCCACGCAACTTGCCAATTTATGGTTTCTCTCACAGAAATAACATCGCACATCTGGTGAAGTGACATTTGGCTTCTTGTCATAAGTCTGAATACTGTAATTCAAGCTTCGCTGCGGATATGTCGCATTTGATCTTCTGTTCTTGTCATTTCGTGATGACTGTTCCCTGTTAACATTGTCCATGATAGCACCAAAAACGGGGTCGTTCTTTTCCTTTGATATTGTTCTGATCAAGCACCGTACATCTTCAACTGTAGGCTCTCTATGATACGATCTGATCTCCTGGACACGAGATTGCCAACGGGACTTCACAAAGTTTGGACATCGCTCTAGGACTTTCACCAATCGGTCTTCATTGTTTAGCT